TTTTTTATTAATTAATTAAAAAATAAAAAAGTTTTATTAGTAGCATATATCAATTTTAGATGAAAATTTTAATATATCATACATAATTATATAAAAATAATTTACATGCCCCTTACCCTTAAAAAACCAGTTTATATTTATATTATAAAAATAACTAATATATTAATATATTTGTATTACTATATTACAAACCAGATCTGTGGCTTGATAATATCTTTACTACATTTAATTAATTTAATTAATAGTTTATTTAATTTCTTTTACTATAAAGCATTTTGGTGACAAAGCTCCTCACAGACTTACTCTATATATAGAAGTTTTACAAACTCATGTAAATAAAGTTAACAAAACTGTTGTTTGTAAAGCTTGTATAAACAAATTAGAAAGAGAAGTGGTATTAGAAAGATCTATCTTTACTAATACAAAGGTATGCACTAAAGTATATTTAAAGAAATATTCAAATTTTTTTGAAAAATATAATAAAGAAAAAAGAAATAAAATTCTTTATGACTTAGATAATGAAAGTCAAGAAATAAATACAGTTTTATCTGTAAATTCAGTTATAAGTTTATCTACAAGTTCAAGTTCTATTTTAGTTTTTACTTCTTCTGAACCAACTGCTAAAACAACTAAAATATATCTTATATGATATACAAAATCAAAATCATTAAAAAGCTTAATTAATAATTATTTTGTTCGAGACTTAAATTTAGCTGAGTATATAGTTTTTGAACAATACATGTTAAAATCTACAATTAGTAATAAATAGGTATTTAGATGAACTAAAGATTCTAAGATTATAATATTTTTCAAATTTCTAAATCCAAATTTAAAATTACCTGGTTACTATATACTAGGCTTCTGCAAGAGCCAGGTAGGGCTGAATACTAGCAATACTCTAACCCTATCCACCTATACAAAGGCTCAACTATCTGGGCTCTATCCTTGCCCTAAGGTTTAGAGTCTAGTACCTATACCCATTTCATGTAAGCTAAGGTACCCTCTGAACTGCCTACAGAATACCCACAAGTAGTTATAACAAAAAAATTACAACTTTAAAATAAGATCATATTGATCTCACTCACTCGCTTAGTACTTTATATATAATGAACAATGCTTTTTTTTGACACCTTGTATAGCAAATTTAGAGTTACATATATAGTTATTGCACTTTACAAAAAATAATATGACCTCCTTAATATAATCAATTAAAAATATAAATAAACATTTTAGAATGCCAAAATTTTTTTTGACCATAATGATAATCAAAAATTATATGCTATATCTTTTTGTATTTTAAGTATGTCACCTCAGTAAAAGTAAAAAAGCCAAGTGTACTTATGAACGCAAAATCAACACACTATTTACAAGAGCTTAGAGATAAAATTGATTTATTGCAGTTTGTAATTGTGATTGCAATCGTGATTGCTAAACTAGCTAATTTATCATGAATCTGAGTTTGTGTCAAGCTCAGATTTATGATAAATTGGCAATCGTGATTGTAATCATAATAATTAAATTAAAATCAATTCTTATTAAATTTGTAATCAAAGAAAAAGAAAAAAAAAACTAAATACAATTATTTTTTAAAAACGCACTTTTATTTAAAATTTATTAAAGTGTACTTTATTACTTACAAGTAATGGTTCTATAATAGATTTATAAATCTCAACCGAATTTTTTAGACATTTCTAGCCAATTTCTTTAACACATCAATGTAGTTACCATGTCTGGATTCAACAAAGTATAACTCTTATTAATAATACGACCTGCACAACTAAATGCTTGTTCAGAAGCAACACTAGTAGCAGGTATAGAAAGAAAATCTTGAGCTATCGCAAATAAAGTGAGGAATCAGTCTTTATTACATTTCCACTATTCAAAAATATTGGTAGTTCTTATTGCAATTTGTTTATTCAAATATTGTTTGACTTCATAAAATGGACATTTTCATTAGTCTGTGTCTTCTTTATTGCATATTCAAAAAAATCGGTAACATGGTTTTCAAACGTATCATTTTCAGTATCGACAATAATCTTATTATTTGGCAAATATGCAACAGTTAATAAAGGATAATAAGTTTGAAAGTATATATCTTCAAATCTAATTTTTTTAAACATTAGTATAAAATAATTGAAATCTATAAAACCAACACAGGTTGAATCAATGAATAACAGATACATACTAGGTATATAATGGGAAACCAGTTTCCTGTTATGTACCTGGTATGTACCCATTATTTATTGATTCAATCTGTGCAATTTATTAAAAATTAATAAACATACTTCATTTAAATATCTTGTAATTTTTCATTAAGATCATAAAATTCCAGTTTTGCTTTTTCACAATAATAATATTCAATAAATTGCATTTTGTAACAGGGATCAAGGATACATGCTATCATATGTAAAGTACTACAGTTTTTCCAATACTTATTAAACTTCTCAATCATAAGTTGACACATGTCATGAATAAAGCTATTTGCATGAAATTTCATATACAGAAAATGAGTGCAAATATTCCAGATTGAAGCGAGAGTACTATTAAGCATTGGGTAAGAATTTGCTAATGCTTTTAGAGTATCTATTTTTTTTGGTAAAAATCAAAAAATAAATCAAAAAATAAAATTAAATTATTTATTCAATAATATATATTTTTATATACAAAAATTGTTCAAAAATTATATATAAAAATCAAATAATTCGCTAAACTACTCATCGGCGGTTTTACCAAAAAAACTTACAATCATAAAATAGTTTTAAAATACTACAAATAGCTTTCACATTTTTTCATTCATCATTATCAGGTATATCAGAGAATGTTTTATCTCTATTTTTTATTTTAACAATTACATTCTTAATTCTAATAACTAATTGCAACATCAAATAAGTAGAATTCCAACATGTCTCATAATCTAGTGATGGAATTATGGGCTTTACAGATTCAGATTCACAAATATCTAAGAATATTTGGCACTGCTTTGGTGATATGTGTATTGCCTTAGTACAACTACGAATCTAAATAAATTTGACAATTTATATTTTTATATACTATTTAATTAACTTTAATCAAAATTCTTATATAGGATACCACAGGTTACCAAATAATTTGCTTGTATGGCACACAAATAAATTATTCAATAACCCATAGTACTCTTTAAATAGACATGCAATTACCTTTTTAATAACCTCTGAAATTCCTTTTAACTCATCTTTTACAATAATATTTAAAATATGAGTGAAAACAGTGATTATGAAAAAGATCTTTGTTAATTTCTATAAATGAGTCTTGAGAAATATTGTTAGCTAGTTTACAGATTGTAACATCATTCGAAGCTGCATTGTCAAGAATAATAGTTTGCAACTATAATAAATTATATAAAATTATATTGCATTATTAATTTATTAAACCCTAACCTTAATGCAATTCTAAAATCAATAATAATTACCTTAGTAGTAATAGACCATCTATCTACCTCAGCCTTTATGCAATTGGTGATATTAATACCAGTATGAGGATAAGGAATTAATACGAATGACAGTATAATAGAAATAAGATTTCATTTTAAATCAAAAAAATGGGCAGTAATTGCCAAGTATCCAAGCTGTTGAAGAGATGTTTAACAATCACATGTAAGAGAGATTTTGCCTTCAGCATTTTGAAGTATATTTTTAATCAGTATCTTTCTTTTATTATAAGTGTTTATAATGTCTCATTTTATTGAGTCAGCATTAACAATAAAATTAAGTAATAGTCTCCTAATCAGCTTTCGGAAACCTTACCCTTCCACAAATTAAAAACTAAGTTCATCTAGAACTATCATATCTGCTACATCTTTTCTAACTATCTTTTTTATAGATGTTTGATTTACATTAAATCTCAATTTTGTTTGTCTATTAGATCCTGAATTAAACCCATTTGGGTTAGATAACAACTTTTTATATTTTTGGCACAAATTTAGATGGCATTGAAGATGAGATGTTTTAGTTCTTTTTTATGACTAAGTAAACCTTTACAATAATCACATTTAGTCTTTCATTTTTTTGTTAACAAAGAAAAATAGTCCCAAATGGGGGATATAAATCTTGGTATAGTTTCACTAGTTGTTTTACTAGTGGCTTCACTGGTAATTTCACTAGTGGTATCACTAGTAGGTTCACTGGTGATTTTGTTAGTGATTTCGTTGATGATTTCACTATTGATTTCACTGATGATTTCGCTGATGATTTCACTGATGATTTTGCTAATGATTTTATTAGTGATTTCACTGATGACTTCATTAACAGTTTCACTAGTTGTGCCATTAATGTTTTTATAATAAGTAGTTAAGCTAGTAACCGAGTTGACATTCATCACTATATTATCATCATAATTATCATAATTATTATAATTATAGGCATCATTGTCCGTAAAATCTTTTATGACTTTGTGATTTTATATTAGTAGTAGATGCTATGGCATTAATATAGTATGTTAGCTTTTAACATTCTAGTATAATAAGCAAAAAGTTGCAGCAATACTAATATCTTGCCTATGGCTTTTAATAGCCTTTCACTTTTCATAGCTCAATGTGTTGGCAGCTCAGTATACTGGTAGCTTAGTGTGTTAATAGTGTAATTAGTACACATGTTGGTAGATTAGAATGCATATGTTGGTAATTAGTGTGCTAATAATTAGTGCGTTTGTAATTAAGGCATTGGTAATTAATATATTGGTAACTAGTATGTTAGTAACTATACATTGGTAATTAGTGCATATATTGGTAATTAGTGCATATGTTTAATATGGAATTAAACCAAAGAGAAAAAAAACAAAGGTCAATTTATTATAGATAAGTAAAGATAATCTCATCTCGTGTAGTTTATTCATAGCGATAGCTGATACTAGATTATAATTGATGGGTTATTTAGTATCGGGTATTTGTGGGTACGAGGGTAGGGTACTGTTGCTTTTTAGCCCTACTCTATCTATATAAGGGCTTAGTACTTGAGCCCTTACCCTTATCCTAGAACCCAAAAATTAATACCCTAACCCAGTCTGTGTAGTACTACCCTCAGAGTACCTGTGGGTAGCCTGAGCCCTTGCAGAAGCCTACCTGTAACCACAAATATTAGGTAACTATAGCATATTACATAAAACTAGATCAGCTATATATAAGACACAGAAAGCTCTAGTAATGATGTTTCTGAGAATATACTGCATGAAATAAGGTATGGGGTTCTAAGGGAAATAGGTAAAAGTATTTAGACCTTTTTGACTGATGACTATATTAGAGATGATTTAGTAACATAGTAAGGATTGCAGCACAGAAGATTTAAATAGGCAATGCTCTAGTTGGGTTGCAAATATGGCAGCTAGTGTAGAACCATTAGTGGACTACTTAAATTAGACACCAAAAGTATACATGTAGCTAGTTGTACTTTCTAATGTAAGGTGACTTTATTGAGGCTTCAGCTGTGAGTCCCTATATTCAATTTACTAAATAAAATCCTAGGCCCAAAAGAGGCTAGTTTAATAAATAAAAAATAAAAAATAAAAAAATACAGGATTTATGCTTAGATGAACAATCCTATATGATAAATAGCAGCATAGCATAATTAAAAGAAGGTTATTTACCTTGCTTCAAACTTTTTCTTATGCACCAGATTACCAAGATTTATAGTGAGGATGTTTTTAGTTCTGAAGTTTACCATACAGTTTAGAAACAACATGATTATAGAGAAACTTTTAATCTTGCTCAAAAGGCTGTTTGGTTTGCAGTTAAGGCAGATAGTAAATCCCTTTGCTGTCTTAAAAAAAGTCTGAATGATTGGTTTGCTAAGAAACAAAAGCTAACAAATATTAACAATAATAACAAAATAAATTTTAATTCTAATTAAGTTGAAAATCTAATTAAATGCTAACAGAAAGGAAAACCTTTAGTTAAGCAACTTAAAAATAGCTTTAAACAAATTAAAAGCAAAAAGCCTATTATGCAAAATAAATGTAGCAAATGTGGAATAGTTGAGCATTATGCATTAACTTGCAAGAGCTAGAGGAAATGATGAAGAATATAAGTTAAGTGAGAAAAAAAAAATAATTATAAAAAGTTTTAAATGGTTGATTCTGTATAACTCAATAAATTTAACTATTATTTTAAAGCATTTATTATTAGAGTCAAAAAAGCTTCTTTTTTTTTTTTTTGTTAAGCAAATGCATAACTATAATTAATAATAGTAATATTAGTATGGGTGTGTTTTATTATAAGATTAGAATTTAATTAATTTATAAGCAAACATATAATTCTTAATGATCTGATATTTTTATTTATACATAGTAATTATATAAATATTTTTTATAATAAATATATAATTCTAGCAAATTCAAATTATACTTTGTAGGACATGACTATTCAACCTAATATCAGAATTCTTATTAATTACAATGAGTAACTAATTTGCATATCTATCTACTTTTTTTTAAATTAAAAATATCTAGCCTTAATTCGAAATGAATAAACCTTATAGGCAGTAGTTTATTTAATTAGTTAATAAATTCAATTTAATTTTACATTATTTATACAGTTTAGAGTACTTTTAAAAAAATAAAACCTAATTATAGTAAAATAAAAAAAAGCTGTATAGAAGGTTTCATTAGAGCTGTAGGACTTTATAAACAAAGATAAGATCTAATTCTCATTCATTTAAAAAAGTTAGTATAGTAATAACTTCACAAAACCTAATAAAATCAACTTATTACAAAGCTAATTTTTTTAAACAGATGAGAATTAGATTTTATTTTTGACTATGAAGTCCTACAGTTCTAATGAAACCTTCTATATGTTTTTTTTTATTTCACTATAATTAGTTTTTATTTTTTTAAAAAATACTCTAAACTGTATAAATAATGTAAAATTAAATTGAATTTATTAGCCAATCAAATAAACTTCTGTTTATGTAAATAAGCCACTAATTTACTTAACTATCTGTCTTTAAGAAATTAACTTAGTTCAAATGATTATATAATTCCAACTAATTCAAATATATATATATACATATAGTAATATAAAATATTTTATAATAAATATCACCTAAACCAATGATGTTTTGCTAATTATTTATTGCAATAAATGACTAAAATAAGGCACTCATTCATTATCAAGAAATCTGTAAGTTTAAATAATTCATACAGAATAATTTAAGTTAATTATTGATACGAATATTGAATTAGTTAAGAATTAAAGTCACTATTTATTAGCAAAATCTATATATATAAATAACATTCTAGTTTGAGAACACAGAATTAGAATTGAAATAGATAAAAAGGCATTCATTTATTGTTAAAAAATCTGCAGGTATGAATAATTCTAGAGTTTTCTGGATTGGATATTGTTACAAATATGGAATTATAATTTAAATATATAAAAAGGCATTTATTTATTAACAAAAAAATCTGCAAATATGAATAATTCAGGTAAAATCTTCTGAATTAGTTATTGTTATGAATATGAAATTAGAATTGAGATAAATAAAAAAACATTTATTTATTAACAAAAAATTTATAGATATGAACTTTTAGGAAAAATATTCTGTTTTGGCTGTTATGAATATAAAGTTAATTTTGCGAAGAATAAAAAGGCATTCATTTATTTTTAAAAAGTTAGCAGTTATAAATATTCTGAATAGAATTCTCTAAATTGGTTATTGTTATATTTACAAATATGGAATTTAAGTTAAGATTGATAAAAAGGCATTTATTCATTATCAAAAAATCTACAGGTATGAATTATGAACTAAGAAGAAAGAATTAGTTTAGTTGGTTATTCATACTAACTTTAAATTGGCAAAAAAAATGAAAAGGTATCTGTTCTATTATTAAAAATTAGTTATTAGAAAGAATTGATACAGATTAATGTTATTTGTTTATTAGAAAATCTTAAGACAAAAGTTTACTAGTTTCATTTACATTTACTTATATTTATTAAAAAAGTTTAAAAAGCAATATACTTCAAAAATTGCAAAATTGGTGCAATAATATTGTTATGTTTGAAGTTGTACTGACTGAAATTAGCCTCTGAAATTAGATCATTTTGTATATATTAGTTAGCAAGTTTAAGTAGGTTTAACTTCAAGCATGACAATATTATAGTAAAATATTCAGATATAATTTTTGACACTGAAGATTTTATCTTGCTTTATGAAAATGCATTAGTATTACTTATTGGAAAACAAAATTTTGAAATTATCTAATCAATTTATAAAATTATTAAGTTTTAATTAGTTTAAATAAAGTACTTATTTATATTTTTATATATAATATATTATATCAATTATGTAATAATTTAATGTAATAATTTAGAATTTTATATAATATATATGATTCAGATTTGTCATCATTGATAACAAATAGATTTGCTTTAAATTAAATATTAATTATAAAACTTTTCTATTTTAAGTTATATATTTGTTTCTAGACTATTTTATTAATGTTTACTAATTTTAAAAACTTTTGTAATTTGTTTATTTGTTAATTTTGCTAGTATGTTTATATTTTTTAAATAAAATATATTTATTTTATTTATTTTGTTTACTAATAGTTGTTGTTTTGTATCATGTATTTATTTACTATTATTTAAGGTTTAATTTAAATTTTTAAATTTTCTAAAAATTTTGTTTTATTTTTTACTAAGAATTTTTTTATTTAGTGCATATGCATCATAATGCACTCATTTAATATTACATAATTTACTATATTCTGTATGTAAAATGATCAGCATATATCAGCTCAACTCAGTTTTAAGAATAAATTATATACAGTTAAAGTTTATAGATATAACTAATTACTAATAGCTAATACATAATGTATAAAGAACAAAAAAATAAGAAATATAAAAGCATTTTTTTATAAATAAACAAAAATACCAAAAGATATCAGAAAAACAACTTGATTTATAATATAGTATCTACAATTGGTTATACTTTCACTTTGTTTTCTAAAGAAACAACAATCCTAACATTACCAATCTAAAAATTTACTATTTTATCAAATCAAAATTTAAGAGCAAGTGTAATATCAAATAAGTAGTGAAATTTTTTTTAGATTAGTGATGCTAAAGTTAAAAAAAAATGCACATACATATATACCAATATTATAAAATTTAACACATACTATTAAACTTATAACTCTATAACAATTATCAACAAATCAGTTTTTATCTATCATCACATCTAAATATACAAATATTTCAAACAACATATATTTTCTTAATTCTTCAAAACTCTAGACCATTAGATCATCTAAATATTTATTGAACCAATTAGAATTTGCATTAAATCTAATGCCACTAATACCTACTTAACCTTAAAATAGGTCTTCACTTTAACTCTAAAAATTCAAAACTTTAATTTTTGATTTAATGCAAATTTTAATTTGTTGTATAATGCATACAATCATTCCTATATGTGCACTTCTATAAATGCATTTTACATGCAATTTTCTTTTATAAATACACTTTACACATCTTTGTTGATTATTTAGGATTGACTACTATTACTAAATGAATATATAAAGCATTATCTAAAATATTATATATTATAAGTACTCTAACTATAACCTTAATCTAGAAAAGAAGCACTAACTCTAATATTTAAAAGAAAGTGCTTAAAAAATTAAGCATTAATATATCAATTGCATAATTATGCACTGTAATAAACAAACAACATGTAACATGAATATACAAATTTTATAACATTAACTATTCATATTTGCATTAAAGTATGTTTTATATAGGCAAGTTGTGATATTATAACCTGAATTTTTGCAAAATTTGCAATTATATTGTTCATGTTTTTTTATTTTTCAATGTTGAATTAAGGATAGTTTTATTATGATGTTCTGCTTTTCTTGGTCTTTCTTTCATAATGACTTTATAAGGATTTATAAATAAAGGATCAATATTTTCTCTATCCTCTGTACTATTAATAACAGTTTGATGTAATTGAGTTTTTTGCAAACTAATTAGTTCATACTCTTTAACATGAATCTTGTTCAAATAGCCTTCTATTAAATATATAAATTCTTTATCATAATACAACATATATTTGTCTAAAGCTATGCATATAAGGCCTCAATTTTTTTATAAAAAAAAAGTTTTTCAGTAAATTCCTCATTTGCTGAATCCTTTACCTCATTATTACTAAATAGTTGTAGTCATTCGAATTGATCTTTATTGCTTTTTAAAATTACAATGTTATTAAATCATTAATCTAGATGTTTGTCTTCTTTTGCTGCATCAGATAAAAGGTTTTTTGAAATCCAACATGTTGTAATTAATTGCATACTAAATTGTGCCTTATTAGTAACATTCATAAATTAATACAAATAAGTCCTTTCTTTTATTATAAAAGACAAGTGCAATAGTATAAACTATTTGTAAAAAGAAATACAAAATGATTAATCTTAAAACTTGTAACTCTTGAAACTTTTCATATTTTTTCAATCATATTTGAATCTAAATATATTGTTAAAAGATATTTAGCACATATAACAATAAAATCAGGTTCATCATCAATATTCTTATTTTGTGAAGGTTTATTGTCATTTATCAATTCAATTTCTTGTTTTGTAGAGTAAACAGAAATATAATACATGCTTTCTTTCATTTACTCTATTAAAAAATATAAAACATTTGACCTCAAGTAATGCTTAACTAAGAATTCAATAGTAGAAAAAACAGTGCTAACACTCATAGTAAAAGGAACTCTATGCTTCTATTCTTTATACTATTTTTGCTTTTGTTCTTTATAACTATATTTTATTAAAATTTTTTTAAGATTACAAAGTGTTGTATTCTTATTCTTAATCACTCTCTTAATATTGTAATAAAATTTACTAAAAACTATCAAGCTGTAGCAAATTTTAAAGTGATAAGTATTAAGTAGAAAATCTTTTATTTAAAAGAAAAATAAAATAAATAAAAATAACTAAAAATAAGAAATAAATATTTAAAAATAAAATTTAAATTCAATAGCCT